ACACTTAATCTACATAGTGCATCGACCTTTGCAAAAAATTCCCATAAATGAAAGACTCGTTGAGTACAAAAGAGTGTTCAATGTAAATAACAAAGCATATGGGATCATTGAGAGGTTTAAAACAAAGTTTGTGGCCAAATATTTCTCTCAGTCTTATGAGAAAGACCATCAAGGGACCTTAATACTAGTGGCCAAGTTAAACATTATAAGAGTTCTTCTTCCCTTAGTAGTGGACAGTGATTGGAAACTGCATTAACTCGATATCAAGAATGATTTTTTAAAAGAAAACCTTGAGAAAGAAGTGTATATGGAGATCCTACAAGAGTTAAGAAAAAGATTCAAATAAATATCTGATTTGTAAACTAAAAAGTTACTTTATGGCCTCAAACAATATCCACGAGTTTGGATTGAAAAGTTTGTCGAGCTTATAAAATCTAATGGTTACATCCAATTCAAGTTGATTGTAGACAATTCATAAAACATAGATAGGAATGTAAGAAAACTATACTCCCGTCTATGTAGATGAAATGACTTTGACAAATAACAATGAAAAAGAGATTTGTAAGATTAAGGAGGTTCTTACCTCTTAATTTAAAATCAAGGATCTATGAGCTATGATATACTTTTTGGGTATGGAAGTGGAAAAGTACAAGAAGAGAATTGTGATATCCCAAAAAAATATATCCTAAATCTACTAAAAGAGATGGAAATATTGGGATATAAACCTGCTGAGTCGCCTATAGATTTTAACAAAATGTTACATTCAGGGGGACAAAAGACAACAACAACAACAACAACAAAGTCTTAATCCCACTACGTGGGGTCGACAAAAGACACCAATAACAAAATGTAGATACCAGAGATTGCTGAGAAAGCTTATCTACATGTATAAACTGAACCTGATATCACTTGTTATGTAAGCTTTGTGAGTCAACATATGAATAGTCCAAATGAAGAATATTTGGAGAAGATTTACAAAATATTGAGGTTTCTTAAGAAGACACCTGACAAAGGATATTGCTTAAAAAATCATACAAAGGCCGGTAGAAGTTTACACTAATGTTAGTCGGGCAGAAAAACTCACAGTAGAAGATCTACATCTGGGTATCGTTCCTATGTATGGGAAAATCTTGTCACATTGAATAGCAAGAAGCAAGCAGTGCTCTCTATAATTAATGCAAAATCTAAGTACCATGCACTTGGTTTGAAAATTTGCAAAAAAATGTGGATCCAAAAGTAATTAAATGTGTTGAGATGCTCCACGGTCAATCTCAAAGATGTTATGTGACAGTCAAGCTACTATTAGCATCGTGGAAAACTTTGTGAATCATGACAGAACCAAACACACTGAAATTGATAGACATTTTATCTTTGAAAATGTCAATTGTAGCATTATTCAGTAAATATACATTCCAATTTATCTTCAAGTCACTGATGTCTTCATCAAATTTCTATCTCCAGATAGCTTCATTGATTTCAATACCAAGTTGGGTCTTTACAACATCTATGACCCAGCTCGATGAAGAGTAGAAAATTTTCTCCCTATTAGGTGGTCCCGACTGTCAGCCATATGGGCTCCACAAGTTCACTTTGTGGAAGCTATTGGAAGGAGTTTCCTATTTCAACTTTATTCTTTTCTTATTCCTTTCTTCTTATGTAGCATATCTTTCCTTCATTGTTTGTTCTGAATACAATAAGTTGTAATAGTCTCAATTATATGTGAACTAACAACCTCCCATATAATAAGAGAAAATGTTGTAATTCGAATATTAGAATATAAGTTCTCCACCTTTCTTCATTTAGCGTTCCACCTCCTTTTAAATCCAACAAGGATAAAAATTAAGATTCAAAAATTAACCCGACCATAGCTTCTAAACTAACCCCTCGAAGATTAGAATCTTCTCTCTCCCAAACTGAACTATGAAATAACCAATATTATCTTCTCGCTTGAATGTCAATTGAAAAAAAATCCTCGTGCTACTAATGCCACAATCCTTACCTCATTGTAAGTCATAAAGGAAGATGAGCCATCACCTTCATTAACTTCTAAAAATTTAAATTGTTTTTACTCATTTGCACTAATAGCTAGCTTGAATTTCACTTGTGCATACATTTTGTTAATGAAAAATGATTCTTGATGAGGTTGATAACCCATCGCCTTCCTTTATAATTTGTGTATGTTATTAATGCAATGAATGCAATAAGATCCTTTCTCGTCCATCTTATTCTCAAACTATTCATTTGCCTTCATATAGTTGTCATCTAATGCCCAAGAGTTATTCTTAGATTTAATTTTTTGTCTCCCATATTTTTGGTTCTACTCCTTGAGTGAAAAGGCATTTGTTCTGCTCTTTAAGATAATAATGATTGAAAAAGAATTTCATATCCTCAATCATTTTATGCATCCTTAATAAAAAGTTCACAAAGAACTTCTACTCTAATGAAATATCTTAGGCCATAAGTTGTCTCAAAATATGTTTATGCAATTTTTATATCATTCATGTCAAACATGCAATCTTATATCGTTCATATCATTATATAAGTGTTGCAAACATATTGATATCTCTTCTTTGAAGTTGATTGGATAGAATTTGGAAATTAGTAGTCTCTTCAATCCAACCCACAACAACTTTAAAATGTCACTAGTCTTTTCAAATGCATTATACCACAAACAAATTAAGGATCAACTTCAATCCACCAAAATCTAACTGGTACACACATGAATATCACATTAATAGAGAAGTTTTGACTTGCTCAGGCTAACCAATGATCCACAAAATATCAACTTCTGCATCACAAGTTGACAATTGTAGCCTAATAATCAACTTGAATGAATGAATAACATTTTTGACCGCTCATGGACATCTTAAAGTAACACTTTTCTCTTCCTATTTCCCCAAATATTCAAAATGTTCTTCTTCACAAATTATTGTATCTTATATCTTACATGCAAGAATCATACCCTTAGCACATAAATCCTCTTAGCTCCCACATTGCTTTATGGGTCGCAAGGACTTAAAGTTACAATTGGAGAGTCTTAAAAGGGCCATTAAAGCCTCAACCTTTCTGTGATTTATTTATACAAATTTGGTCAACAAAAAAAGTAGTGTCCTCTGTATCAGTCAAATGAACGATCCTTCCTTCCTCATAATACTAGTTTCATCCTATTTCATATAAAAAATTTAAGTGCTCAAACATTATTAGGATGAATGAGAATATTGGTTTGTAGTTAGTGCCCATAAATTGAAGTTAACAAAGAGATATGGAAGTAGGTGGTAAGAAGGGTTTCTTTAGAAAAACCCAAGTTAGAATTTTGTATTTTTTAGGATTTCACATGCTTAATTTAAGTTTTCGACTTCAAACAATGGTGCATAATTTCATAAAATTTGGTATTCAGGGAAAGAATTGAATAGAAGGTTGTTCACATATTATAGATAGTATTATTGTCTCTTAGTTCATAAAGGAGATGATAGGATTTTTGTCGTATGGGAAAAAAAACTAGAGTCTCAAGTAAAATGAAAGATAAAGCTTAGCTGGCTATAACGAAGAAAGTTGATTTTGAAGTCATGCTTTCCACCTCTAAACAAAAAGATTGCAATAAACACCTATAATAGCTCAAGATCAATTTATAGATGAATGGATCACAATAAGATCCTTTCTTGCTAAGCAAAAAATATCATTCAACAATATCCAAAATATCTTTATAAAACCAAGAAATATTTATAAAAAGGTAGCCTCATATACAACTAAAAAAATCATTCAATGGTATCCAAAGTATCTTTATGAAATCAATAAAATATTAATGAAAGGTGGCCGCATATACTAAGAAGAAAATGTCTGGCTAATTTAAAAAATATCACCCAACATATCCATACAAATTAAAATTATCTAAATACTAACCACGGGCTTATGCAAATGATAGCATATCTAACTAAATATAAGATATTAATTAAATTCTAATTAAAATTTCCTTTGTGTGCGAAGCTAAGGCACGAATGGCCATTATAGGGTGTCATTGCACACTTTTATGTAGTTGGCCCCACAGCATAGTCAAGCCTCCTTGGTGAAACCAAGTCCAAATGGTACAATTGGCTCATGATATATCCACTCAATATAATGTTGCTGATCAAAGTTGACAATAACTAGCCAATTCGGTGCATCTGGTCTATGATGATGTAAGCAGTACGAATGTTGTTTTTTTAGCCCTTGGATGCAGCTAACCAAAGTTGGGTCGTTGTTGTAAGCACCATTTTTTTGGTGTTGCCTCCTAAGATAACCCCTTAATCTAATCATAACAACATTTATACAATGAATAATTACTATCAATTTTAACAATTTTCAAGAAGGACACACGTAATTGATACAAGCAGCAAAGCACTTTTTTGTAACCTTAATATGGGAAGACTATATAATGCACCTAAAGGATATCCAAGAGCATTAAATCATTAGAAACTAATGAAATGACAATACATTGCATTAAAGTATTCAGGTTTCTAACAAATAGAAAAGTTATTTTTAAATAAGAAATTGCAATAAGTAGAAGAATGAAAACGAAGTTAATATAATGGAACTAATGCTTAATAAAATTTGAATAAACCAGATACAATACTATATTAAGCCAGTGTGAAACACCCATTCATAGAGCCAAAGTGAATTAGCATATATGGCATTGAACATAGCCTTCGAAATAGATAGCACGTGCGTGAAAATCTCAACAAAAAGATTAGGACTAATTATTATGTAAATACCTCCACTACTGTTAAACAGAACTGCAAAAGCAAATGGGTATTCATTTAGAGATGTATCTATCTACACCCGTTTATGCGGATTGGATTTAACCCTGTACATGTCATTGTTTCAGAGACCAGAATCAAAAGCCATATCTGCTTTCATAGTATTAGTAATAGAAGACACAGAGCAAATTTCCGGTAAGGAAAACTAAAATTCTGCAAACATAATTCATTTCTTAGATAAAGAATCAAGATAAGAGAAATTTTCACCTCGAGGAACTCCTCGGCGTAGGCCTGGGCGAGCTGTGCCTTGAGTTGGTCCATCATCGCCTCCGCCGAACGGCCCGACGACTCGGATGAACCGGATGACAACGAAGAAGGGGACGAAAAGGAGTCCATAGCGAGGTTTTTCTCTCTACTTTTCTACTCTGTTTGGGGCAGAGAATAGTGCGCTAAAGCAAAACCCTAGCTTCTTGGAGTGGTAGGTTTAAGTTGAAGAATGTTCTGAAGCCGGACTTCAGCA